CCCCCCCCCCCCCCCCCCCCCCCCCCGCCGCTCTAAACATCAGTTGCAAACAGCTGAGCATGAGATAACATACCGCAACTATCCCCCACCGCTCCCGATACCCCCCCTCCTCTCACCGTAGTGACAGCACTCCGTGGGCGACCTCCGCTGGGAACATGGGCTCCGCGCCTTCCGGCAGGTAGATCGTCGTCCTTTTCCTCCTGGCCTCCTCGTACAGAGGGCTGCCCTCTGGCACCCACCGCGACACGTCGGCGATGTGGACCCAGACCCTCTCTCCGGCCCCGTCGGGCAGCGCCTCCACGCTCAGGCCGTCGTCCACCTGCGCGGAGGAGGAGGAGGAGGAAGACCAAAAGGGGACCGGTTGCTCTGCCATCGTCGCTGAGTGCACGTTCGAAACCTATCCCGGCCTCTAACCTACCCAGAACCCCACGCTATAACAGGGATTCCGTGGTCATAGACCAAGCAATGCCCGGGCACTTAAATACAGTACACACGTGTTTCGACCGAAAAATGATGTTGAGGTTTTTAGCTTCCCAAACTCTAAACTACTGTTCTTCTGTTTAGAGCGCGTGTTCAGCAACTCGACGGGGGGTAGGGCGTGGCTAGGGATGGCCGCGCTGATTCCAAACGCAGTACCCCAGGACTCTCGACCCACGTCATCAACACCGTTGCCCTCTTAAGATGCCCCAGAGCCACGGAAAAGGGTTTACCAAAAGAAAAGCAGAGCACACACAAAATAACCGCTGATACCGAAGGAAGCGATGGTTGTAGCCGCGGGAACAGTGACGACCCTGCAACGACGGTGTGGTATTCTGCAATGCTGCCCCGCAACGCCGCCTTGCTCGTCGTCAAGGCCAGAAGAGAAACCAATAAGGTTCCTCCCCCAACGACCACTACATGGTCTGGAAGGAGCACGGCGATGGTGCTGCTGTAACAACGTCCGACGTAACCTGTTTCTTTCAACCTCCCTGCTGTCAAGGTTTGCCGGGGCACCGTACGGCGGTGCCCTCGAGACCTACAGTCCATCTCATGAGACGCTCTGGTCATATCATCAAGGCTGGATTGTGGTGCGTCGGTCGAGCAAGGTTTGTGTTGGTCCATCAAGACGTTTGATTTAATCCATCAGACGCCGTCGACCGTAAGTAGTCATACCTCGTTGGTGTCTTCGCTGTCGATGGCGTACACCTTTAGGTGGGTCAGGTCCCGGCGGATGCTAGCCTCCGGGTCGGGCGGGGGAGACTTCATCATCGCTCTAGCCTGGGCCATGGCTTCCTCGGAGAAGGTCTGAGGATTTTCTCGGTTTTGGGGCGAGCGACCGACAATCCCAGAGAAGTGAGTGGCTCATGATGCACGGATGAGGTGTCGTGTACTGATCTTGTGCACGTTCCGTGCGACTGCAATTTGTGGCTTCGTGTCTTGTGTGTGGATGCGGCTGGTAAGTGTTTTGTTTGTATTTGTTGGTTGATATGGCAATGTAGGTTGCTCGGTTGCCCCGTCGATTGGCCATCGCTTGTGTCGCCGAAGTCGCAATCCTGTCGGAGACGGTCTGCAGACGTTTGTGCCGATTCGATCGGTTGCGTGGTTCCATTGAATAACCGCTTTTTTGGTTGCTCGTCGGATGCATAGCTTCTAGCAGCAGTAGTGCACACGGGATCAGCGAGGTTGTGACAATGATAGACAAAGGATACTATGGTTCGACTCTTCCAAATAAAATAGCTCAAGCATGTTATACATTTTTGCTTTCGTCTATCGGCCGATCGGGCCATCAGACCGATGGGCTTCCCGTCTAACCTTATCGATCCCCGCCTCCCGCATGTAGAGGTTCTCGTGGTGCTTCATCAGCCCGAGCTGGACGCACAGGTGGAACGCGTTCGAAGGGTTGGGAGACCGGCCCAACAGGGTGAGCAGCTCCCTCCCTAGCGCCTCCTCGGCCGTAGTCCTCGACGCGAAGTTCGTCCGCGCGACGGACTGTGCCGCCAGTATCTGCGGGCGGGCGGGCGGGGTCGGACCGGATAGTGTAAGGCGAAACGACCGGCGATGGGCGGGGGCTGCGAGCGAAAAAATATGCCAATGGTGTGCTCACTGCCGCTATTTTACTGATGTACCACGTTGATATGAGCCAACAAAGCCCTGGCGAATCGCGTGGAAGGATACGTTGGGAGGTTTCTCGGTTACGTCGAGCACGGAGAGGCCATGCCTTCGTCGTGTTGGTCGCGTACGATTTTGGACCCTATTGGTACTCTATTAGTGCTGGCCTCCGACTGCGCTACACGTTTAGGGAAGGGAGGATGGGATGCTGCACTTCCCGCCCTCTGGCGTCGCTTAGCCTGCTCGCCGCACACGCTCCGGCGAGTGCGCTAACGCACCTCAAGCCCGCTGAGCATCTCCTGTTGCTCTTCGTCGAAGTCCTCCACCACTAGCGGCGTCTTCCGGTAGCCGCCTCCCTCGTTCAGCCCCGCCTGCAGGCTGGCGACAAAGTCGGCTTTCTTGGCCTTCACGGCGTCCTCCTGGCTGAGCTGGCGGCGCGCCACTTCAACTGCTTCCCTGGTGTTTGCGGCGCACCATGTTATCCGAAACCGACACAAAGTAGGGGCAACATCAGCTCATGTCGTTTCCGTGCCCTACAGTAGCGTCCGCACGAGCTAACAGTCAGCGATCGGGAAGGGCGGTGCCCTGGGAGAACGCCGGGGTACGATCACGGCACCAGCCCCACCACCCCTCTTCGGTGGTCGTAATGATGCTTACAAAGCTACTTACCACACTCACCCAACAGATCGCCGTCCTCCCAGCGGCAACTCACGATTTTTCTTCGTCTTTATCAAATCCCGTACACAGGCAGGGGCTTACTAGAACAGCCCCCTTGACGCCTCCACTCACCTCGATCGGCACTCGTAGGTGCCGTCCCGCCGCCGCTTGAAGTACAACGTCCCGTCCCTGCCCTCCAACAGACGGAACGCGTGGTAGCACTGCTGCGGCGAGGGGTCCCCGACGCCGAACAGCAGCTCCGCCATGCCTCGGGGATCATCGTTCGCCGCCGCCGCCGCCGCCGCCGCCGCCGCACCGTCGCTACCCGCTGTGCTTTCCTCGAGCATCATATCCCAGGCCTCCTCTATAAGCCCCTCGTCGATCTCTGGACTGTCCTCGAACGCCGCGAGGTCGGCGGCCTGGTAGCCGCTGCCGCCGGGGACGATGTACCGCACTTGCCGCGCGGCGACCGTCGTCTTGGTGCTGCTGCCGGACGCCGCCTCCACCGGCTGCACCGTGTATGTCAACTTCTTCTTGCCGACGCTGCTCTCTGTTACGAGGCCAAGCGCTGGGGGCCGTCCCCTGACGTCGGAGTCGAAAACCACGACCGATCCCGGACCTATCTGATCCGCTGCCGACATTGTCGTCGCCGCTGCTGATCGGGCCGTTCTGGTTGCTCGGTGCTGCTGTTGCTCTGTCCGACATTGCAGCAGCTGCTGCTGCCGATGCCGCGACAGCGTCCAGCTCTCAGCTGAGCGCTGGAGCCTGAAATCTGTACCACTTCTTGTGGCCGTGGGTACCTGGGAGTAGCGCGGGCGGAGTCCACCGCCCCCGGCCTCGAGCTTCGGTTTGAACGCGTGCGACGGCAACATGAACCCTGACACATGACGACTGCTGCAACCAATCGCAAGTGCCGCCACTACGGCCGCAGCCGGAGCCAAGTTTAGAGCCATACCGATAGCACGGCCTCTGCCACGCAGGAGCACACACTGACAGCAGTGGCACGACAGCTGGGCGATAGTGCAGCTGGAGGATGCGTACGTGGTGAGCCAACCACCAGCAACACAGCTGACGGGAGACACCCAGGCAGGAGGACCAAAGCAAAAGATGACAGTCTCGGCGGGGGCATCCGTGGATCAGTCGGATAGGGGGACCTTCAGGGGCGCCGATGTATCACAACGGCGCCGGCTGTCGTCCCGCGGCCAGGCTTGCATGCTTGCATGCTCTCCACTCTCCACCTCCCCACAGCACAGCAGTTTGCCTACCCACAGAGCCCACACTCCGCTGTACGAAGGGGTTCGACGCGACGACTAGAAGACGATGCAGTACTGGAAGCCCGGAGAGAAGAGACCGGGAGGCGGAGAGGGAGGTGGCGGGCCAGCAGGCGACGGCGGAGGGAGTGGGACAGGGCGCGTGAGCGACGAGCAAGGACGGACAGATAGCAAGAAGAAGAAGAAGCGGGTGGACAAGAGTAGGAGGGATGGAGGTGGCAGGGGGAGCACCGACAAAGGCAACAGAAGAAGCAGTGAAGGTGTGAAGAAGAGGGTGAAGAAGGGGAAAGGCAAAGAGAGGCACAGCACCGGCGGCGGGTTGGGAGGCATCAAGGGGGAAGTGTCGCGGGCTGCCTCTAAGCCGCCAGTCGCTGGGCCGTCACAGGGCCTGCTAGCGATGAAGGTAAGCACGCGCGGCTGCAACGTCGGCCTGGTCACACTCATCCCTGTGCTACAGAGTGTCGAGAAGAAGGAAACATATAAAACTGCTGGTGTGTACCAACCTCTCTGACTGCTATCCAGCAGCACCTGAGATGGATCCTGTCGAGGCAGCATATTTGCGGCCGTTTCGTGGTTTCAGGTCTCGCTGTCGCATACGGCGGTGTGTATATCGGGTGCATTGGAGCCAGCTCAAGTGTGCGTATCCCAGTAGACTCTGTTGAGAAGCACGATTACCACTAGACCACTAGTCAGCGCTGACTATTTAGTTGTCTAGTGGTCATCGTGCTTCTCAAAAAAAGTTGATGCCCGCGTCCGGTCTGGCTTTGCAGCCACGAACACGTCCCCAGGGTTGCCATCCCTGTGACAAGCGCTGTCTTGCCCGGAGATCGCTACATTGGTACAAGAGGTCCATCGGCTTATTTTGCCTAAGCCTAGTTCCTCAGACTGTTTCTTGCCATATATCGGGCGCAAAGAAATTATGCTCGAGGGGAGATTCGAACCCCGGACATTTAGTTTTTGTTGAGTAGCACGATGACCAAGACCACCAGGGCTCGGGCGCATTAACTTTTGTTGAGAAGCACGATAGCCACTAGACCACTATTAATAGTCATCGATGACCAGAAGCACGATGACCACTAGACCACTAGTCATGGTCTAGTGGTCATCGTGCTTCTTAACAAACTGCTATAGCTAGAGTGTTCAGCAAACTGCGTGTACACTATCATCAGCACGAAGAAGGTCGCTGCTAGTTGCCTACCGACGGAGTGTTTCCACTCGGGCTGGCGCCTCTCTAAGCAGCAATATGTAAGCGCAAATGTTGTTTGCCGATACAACAAACTGTTAGTACATACTCTCTCCGAATCAGTAAGCGTCGGTCGAAGTTGTAGAACCCATCTCCTGTCGTGCTGCCTTTCCGTCAAAACCTTTGGCGATTTTTTTTTTTTTTGTCTTCACTTCAAATCAGCGCCCACAGCACTAGGTCCGTTTACTCCTACCCGTGGTCACACAGGAGAGCCCCTCTCTACCCTCCCCTCCTACGGTACTTTGCCTTCGATTTTGTATGCGAGAAGAGTTCAGCACTCTCTTCCCTCTGTGTACACACGAACTAGCGCTATCCACTAGGTAGGCCAGGAGCGAAAGCGAGAGAAAAACTCACTTTGCAAGAAAAGCTCGCTTACGCCGGGATTCGAACCCCTGCCCTGACCCCTATATAGAAGGTTTCGAGGATACCAACTAGACCACCGGGGCGACCAGTTGTAGAAAATATACATACAATCGAAAAAAGACCACCCGTTCTAGGTAATACCACATCATCAGTAGGCAAAGGGTCGAAAGGGATTCGTTAGTCTTTATAGCAAGCAGTGAGTGGGAAGGATACCGGCTGGAACTGGGCTTATTCAGAGTCTATTTATGACTGTACACTGATTTTTTACGAGGGATGACAGCAGGTGCTAGTCACTAAAGCTGCAAAGGCGAATATCACAAGACATCTCCCCAGCGGTTCTCTGTAGTTGTAAATATATGGGTGCCCTTGACTCCCTTGCTGCAACGCTGGGTGGCGTCTGGTGCCTGCAGTTCATGCAGCGCAAGGTGCAGGCGGACGAGGCTCAGAAGCAGCGGCAGGAAAAGAGAGAGAAGCTGGAAAGCTACTTCAGCTCCTCCTATGCGAAACGGCTCAAGGCGGACAAGGACACCGGGAAAGACCGGCGAGTACTTATTTCCACCTAGGCGTTTTCAGACAAATACACGTACAATCGATGAGAAAGACTACCCGTTCCAGATAATAATACCACAGTCGAAAGGGGATGTGTTGAACGATTAGACTGTGTGGTGGACGGTGAGAATGATGGGGAGTTGGTTCGTGAAAAAAAACTGTTTTTTGGCGAGATTTGTTTGTTTTCAAATCATCCGGAAACCGCAGAAGGTGTGTTGGTATCTCTGATGAAACCGCTGGCAGTTAGCTTATCCTCGTACATTGTGCAGAAGTTGTTGGCGAGGGTGTATACGCGCTTCCGTGCTCGTGGCACTCGCCTCGCCGTCGCTGTGGTCCATGATATTTCCTGCTGGAACTGCTGATGCTGCTGCTGCTTCTTGTTTTGAGCGTCGGCGACATGCAGCTGTTGAAACGCAACAAGATGATCCTGTTGTTGTTGGTAGTGCCGGGAGCAAATCTAAATTGGTACTTCTGGTACGTACCACCACCAGAACAAGCATCATGGTGGGCCCAGACCCTTGAATCGCGTACCACACAAACGCCGCGATCCTTGATGCTACAAGCGCAACCCCTTCCCTTCGAAGAGCCAATAGTTTGCTTTTATTTGTTTTGTTTCCTGTACCCTTGACCCCGATCAAACGCGATTATCGACACTATGACCGCCAACGTGACAGGCTTATCTGCCGACATGACGAGCAAGACCCAGCGCTAGTGGTAGTCGGAAGGAGATCGTTCGGGGGGTTCAACGTCGTCGCGGAGGCGGCCTACGACGCGTGCATTCGAGACATAGAGGCCGGGGAGAGGATAGGGCGGCCCGGCAGAGGAGAAGATGCTGGAGGGGGTGGCATATCGGACACGGAAATGGCGGAGAGGTTTGTCGGCTCATCAAAGAGCGTGCTGTCGCGGGGAAAGACCCGGGTGTAGTGCTGGTTTCGCTACGGGGGGTGTGCTTGACGGTGCTTGCAAGCCCGTTTTTCGTTTTTTGCTTCGCCTTGCCAACCGACACGCTCTTGCGGTCGTAAACTTGCGTAGGAGTTAGCTCTACAGAGAGGAATTTTCGTGTTTTCGTTCCATGTTGACTACTCTGGACGCCAGCCTACACCGTTCGGTGTGTGTATGACACACAGCGGGGGTCACGCACTAGGAAGGTTACATATGATGCTGTAGTTTTTTTTGTTTCGACGTTCCCCTTGCTTGCCTGCGGCTTTCGACGCGAGAATGGTTCGGCACTCTTTCCCTCTCTTTGTGCTTCATCGTGGCTATGCGCTTTCCATCTCTACAGCAGGTTGCCAATTTTTCACTTCCGGGATATTCAAACCCGCAATAGCAGAGAGTCAGAACGTGACGAGGTTACCGGCTGAATCATCCGCAACGACGGATGCTATATGACGGCTGAAATCGCCAACACATGCTCCCACAGTCTTGTACTGGCGTATTCCGCCGGGCTCCTGAAGGTTGAGGCGTATCTTCTCAGAGATAAGATTGGAAAAGGAACGATGCTCGGTCTTGAAAGCTCGAAAGGCATGAATGCGAAGTACCAAGATTAGCAACAAATGAGCATCCTCTCACTCCCCCCCCTCTCCCACCTCTCGCGTTTTTCGATTTTCTCGCTCCCTCTCTCTCTGTCTCTCTCTCTATCTCTCTCTGTCTATCTCTCTCTCTCGTTCGCTCTCCCTCTCTCTCTCCTCTCTCTCGCTCTCTCTCGTGGTTCGTCTTGCAGGCTTGGGAAGAACGTGCGCCACGGCGGTGGCCAGAGATGACCCCACCAACACTATCGATCGTTCATCTCGAAGAAGCCATCATAGCACGTGTCGCACGGCCCGCTAGTCCTTAGCTTGAGATTGAAATCGTCATATCGTAGGGAGGGGCGATTGGGGACCAGCTTGGGGGAAGGAACATCGCCCACAACAGTGAACGAGAGTGTTCGCACGTTGTTGATCATTGGACAGCAAGAAACCCCGCTCGTGAGGAGACTCTCCAAGGCCGCCTGCTGAAACGTGGAGCGGCAAGTCTTCGGACTACATATATATGTACCACCTGTGTTTCGTACGTCCTTTTGGTCCTGACCTCTTCGTGTGTGCCCACGCTCCATGGGATCGCCTGATACGAGCTTCTTGCACTGCTGTTGTCGCTCTCTTCTGCTTGTGCTACAAGACAGTCTCAGGAACCGAAGTGGGACTGCCGTACCGCGTGTCTCGGGGTGTAAATGTTCTTTCGCTATTACGTGTAAGGACCTGTTTGTGTGTGGTCAGCGTTTTTGGCAAGAACGCATAGAGGCATGACCAAATCGATCCTCAGAAGGCACTAGTAAGGAAGGAGGGGTGCGGCCGGCATTATCTCGAACATCTCTTACAGCCTCGTACACTCTAGACACCTTTCTGTGTGACAACGGATTGGAGCTCTACCCGGAATGCTCTATGTGAGCGATGAACCAAACAACAAGAGACAGACTCAAACGATGTCTTGTTGCCTTCGTTGTTGAAATCTGGTTCGATCTCTATCCAAAACCTTCGCCTGAACACCATCGCTTGCCCACACATGGAGACAAATAAACGAACTGCGTGGTCTCGAGAAAAAGGTGAAAACAAACGAAACATGGCGCCAAGTCGTCCGGTCACTCGCGACAACACGAAATATTGCAGGTTACTAGAACAGTTTGGGGTTCTGTCCACCGTGAGCTGCCGCCTGCGATCGACAATTTCAAATGTACCCACCACGTGCCGCTGCTGTGTGTCGGTATCTCACACGAAGGATCCCTGAAAGACCCCAAGATCAGATATTGGCGGCTACATGAGATGTACACTACTTCGTGCCGCGGCGACCGACAAGGGTAGGTGTTTTTCCGCGATTTCCCATCTGTGGGACCCCATCACACGGCATTCCGTCGCCGGACAACATTGATTGCGCAACAGGCAAATCCCGTGCCTTCGCGACGAACCCAGCCACGAGCCCACCTCGCGCCTCACACGCACACACTGCTTACAGCGAGAGCTACTTCAACTGCACAAGTCGAGATTGGACAAAGAAGGGACGAGATGGAGCACGCCAGGGAGGGCCTGGTGGGGCTCGAGGGCGGCGATCGGGGAGGGGTTGTTCAAGGATACACCCCTGTCCATTCCCATGTTCAACTTTACCTTGTGCAGATCGTGCTGGTCGTGTCGATGTGCTTCGTGCTGGGCCAGATCGTCAAGAAGTGGAACCAGCCCCGCGTGATTGCCGAGGTTCGTTCTTGGCGCGGTGTGAGAAGGATGGGCGTGGGGTATAGGTGGGGAAAGTGTGTATGTACTGCTGCAGTCTCGTGCTGTTGTGTGGTTCATGTGCCCACGGTGTGGACGACGACCGTTACCCCGACCCCGGAACATGAGACCGTCTTTATACTGCTCCGTAGTACTACTACAAGCTCCTGGTACAAAGCAACACATAGATTCCGCGGAGGGCAGATGCGAATAAGTACGTTTGTCATCCGGCGTCTGTTCTCTTGCACAGCTGCTGTAGCATGATTGTAATAACAACGCACGATACGTTGATAAGTCGTCGTTTTGAAAATCGTCTCATTCGGTTTGACTCGTGGTTTCCATCCACACTCATGCGTGCATTTTGTTCTCTACCTCTCTGCCTCTTGGTCAACGAAACTTAAAACTTTCGTGGATGCGATCCCTATCACCTCCTGCGGCCGGGCTGGTGTAAAGTGATGGGTGAACAGCCCCTTGTGCCGGCGCATGTCGCCCCCGCTTGTTGAGCGTTTGTTGGGGAGGTGATGACATCAACCAATGATTGTTCCACCTCCTGCACGGATAGTCGATACAGAGATATATACAGCGTGACCCGCTCTCTCCTCCGTTCGTACGCATGTGTGATTATGCACATGATACACACCCACCACGCGTCTTCCGTGAAAGCTTTGTCGTTGAAACACGGCCACATACATCATGGAACCAACAAAGCGTAGTACGCACACCCGTGTGCGCCTGGTAGTCTGTTTAGTATAATAGCTCTGCGGCGCTTCTGCGCTTCTTCGTTGCCGCTACTACTGCTGTATGCATACTTCAACTTTTCGACTATTAATAATAGAAAAGGAGTACATTACAACCTGTGTCCGCGTCTATTTACGTACGGCGAACCGTCGAAGCGGGTCTACAGCGGTACTTAGCTGTTACACAACAGCAGTTGCTGCTTAGACGTTCTCCTCCCTGACGCAATTATTCCGAATACTTTCGGGGAGTTACATGTATTTAGGAAACATCAATACAAACACAGAAAGACTACCCATTCGAGATAAGACCACAGTCGAACGGGATGTGTGTGTGTAAGTCTTCACAGTGAATGGAGGGAAACCGGCTGGGTACTGGGCTTATTTGGAGCCTATTTAAGCCTATACACTGAAAAAATTCGATCCGTGATGCCGGCAGGTGCTGATCACAAAATCACTGTATAGGTACATATATATACAAGACATCTCCCCCGTATTGTTCTCTACACCTACGGGGTCAACGAATTATCAGGGAGAAACCCTCCGTTATGTCGTGTGTTGTAATATTCTACCTTCACAGGAACACGTCGCAGTGTCTCTTGACAACTTGCTGGATTTTATTTATTTCTGCTGTTGTTGATCTACGATACACGGCAAAACTTCCAAGTAAATCGAGGCGGATCAACTCCCCTGTGTATGATATTTTGGTCCGAATAGTGTCTCTTGGCATCTTAGCATACAGCAGTGCCGGCCCGCTCGTAAGAAAGTACTCCGTGTGTATATGTGTTCGTAAGAAACCGAGCAAGCGGCCGGCGCTACATTAATTCCAATATATGCATAGAAGCCTTTGCTGACAACATAAGGTTTCAGCCTCGCTCAAAATCGGTGTTTCTTATGAGCGGGCCGGCACTGTCCATGCTTAGGTTGATTTCACGAAAGGATTTGCGCCACCGTCTGCTTGTTGACTCTGCTATACTTGGACCGCGTATGTGCAGGTTATTGCAGGCGTGCTGCTCGGGCCAAGCGCGTTCGGGGCTATCCCTGGGTTCACCAGCACCCTGTTCCCCGACGAATCGCTCGAGGCTTTGACCCTCACGGCACACCTGGGTCTGATCCTGTGAGAAATCTCTAGGATTTGCCAGGCCGCGTTGTGCGTGTGCATGCGCAAGTACAATAATATGCGACTGAATCTACGCAAAAGCAGCAGTATCTTCTGTTTTTCTGATGACGAGATCGGCAGCGACACTTCCCATAACCAACCACGAGGGGGGGGGGGAGGGGGATCTCTTGTCGAGCCCGTGGTCGAGGCGATATACTGCTTTATTCGAAAACGTTGGTCCTTGCCAAAAAAAGTAAAAAAATGCTCACACCGAGTACACCCCCGATTCGCACAGTTTGTTTTTTTCACGCGGTTGCTTGTGCCGAAAGGGTCGTTATGCCCGACATTGAGTTGATTGACTGGTTTCCATCGAAAAAAATCTAGTCCTTGCCAAAAACCAATAAGATACACTGCTTCAGTAGGTCACACAGAGTACACCACCGATTTGGGCAGTTTGTTTTTGCACGCGGTTGCTTTTGCCGAGAGGACACCATCGTGTGCACAACTCTCTCTCAAGTATGTGCACGTGTCACCACGAAAAATGGGGGGACTGTCGCGATAATAAAAGGACGAAAACAAACAACACACACACACCGGACCATCACCATGTATGTGCTTGTTGTGTTTCCGTGTGTCGGTAAATATCACAGGTTTTTGTTTATCGTTGGCCTGGAGCTGGACCCCGCCCTCCTCAAGTCCAACGCGAAGAAGGCTGGCATCTTGTCCATCACGGGGCAGGCTGTCACTTGGGTGCTGTCGCTCGGAGTGTCGCAGACAATGATCGCGTTGTGAGTGGGAGGGGTCAGGGGTAGAGATCGAGATGGGGGGGGGGGCGGGCGGGGGGGGCGACAGGAGAATGGAGGGATATAGAGTGCAGGGAGAAGAGAGGAAGGAACGAGAGGGTGCGGCGAAGAGGGCACGTAAACGATACGTGCGCGCTTCTTCTTGTCATTACTGAGGCCGACTTTTTTGGGAGACGGCACGACATTTTGGGAAGCACCCACTGCTGCTGCGTGTTGCGTTAGCGTTGTCATGCTCTTTTGTCCCGAGGTCTTTCAGATGATTTACTCGTGATACAAAGCTGGTCACGCCTTAAATCGCGACCGTTTTGCTGTCGCCCCGGGACAGTTCAAAGTACACACCATGCCAATAGTAAACACGTTTGTAACAGTGACAATACACAAAATGATGCATCTGGAGGTGGTACCTAGGCGTGCTAGCACCGTGTTCTAACCGCGCTCTGACAGTAGCCTTCTCAGGGTTTTTCGATTAGTTGTAGACAGCTTGGATAAAGCACGCGATCGGGGAAATTTGGTACTGAGCACCCGCCCTGCTGCCTCCTTGAATCTGGCCGACCAAATCAGGATGGACGACGTCGAGGCTACCACGTCGTTTGTGCTCTTCATCGGCGTCTCTCTCTCCGTCACGGTATGTAGAGTAGCAACACCCGACCAGATGCCATGCGTTTTCTATGCAACTCCTCGCGTGAACACCCTTCGATCCGACGACGTCTTGCTGCCATGTACGCCAACGTGAGCCCCAGCACAACTGCTTGAAGTGACGAAAGGAGGCACAGCTATGTACTCTGCTGTTGCTTTTAGACACCGCGAAGACACACTCTTTAGGTCGAAAGTGGGTCTGCAAGCCGGTTTCCCACCGCTACGTGATGGGCTTCCTCCGCCCCCAACGCAAGCTTTCAACCTGAAACCCCTCCCTCTCTCTCCTCTTGCTGCACTTGTGCCCCCCCCTTCATCTCGGAGCTTCTTTCCCACCCCGACTGCGCGCGCGTCCTTTCACTGCATCTCTTCCCATCATCGGACGTGTCTCTCTCCGTCTCGTTTCTCTGTGCGCTTTTCCTCGCTCGATCGATTTGTGTTGTTTAACCGGCTGACCAATGAAAGAGATCAGTCCCAGCGCGGTTGAAACCAGAAAATGCTTCTAAAGGCCATGGTCTGGGACTATGTGTGTGTTTATTATTGGTACCGCGTCAACCAGCTGACCAATGAAAAGACATCAGTCTCAATGCGGTTGAGAGCAGAACATCGTTCTTTTGGCCATGATCTGCGCCTCTGTGTGTGCGTGTGTGCAGGCGTTCCCCGTGTTGTCCCGCATCCTGGGCGAGAACTCCCTCCTCAACACCACCGTCGGGGCCCTGGTCATCTCGGCCGCCTCTGTCGACGAGGCCTGCGTGTGGTGCCTCTTGGCGCTCGTGGTGTCCACGGTCAACGCCGGGAGCCCCCTCGACGCCTTCTACGTGTTCCTCCTCCTGGCCTTCTTCGTCGCGGTCATGCTGACCGGTGAGTTGAGTGTTGGTTTGTGCGGCCGTGGCGGTGAAACAGCAGTGGGCGGTGGGATATAAGCACACGGTGGATGCAGAGGAGGAGGCACGGCGGGGGCAAGGGCGGACATAATATGTATATACACCCCAGGCAGTGTTTGCCCCGCCAGCGGCTTTTCGCGGTGGCTGATACTGACCGGTGGGGTTTAGGTGTAGCACTAGTATTTCGCGGCAGCAGTAGCAGATGGGATGAATAGCGGGTTCCGCGGCGTCGGAGGGCACGGGGGAGGGGCCAGAGGGAGGGAGGAAATGTATTGAGTCCCTTGGGTTCTAGAGATCCTGGTTTCAGAACGAACACTTGCAGGAAGGAGTGATACTGTACCCCGCGGCGAAACGACGTTTTGCGTCCCTCGCGAACTGCTTGTAGTGTCTGTCAATTCACGGCACTCCCCCCTCGCGTTATTTTCGCCGACAACGACGACACTTTGCCGGCGTTCCGGTTGTTTCCTCTGCCTGACTCTCTCTCTCTCTCTCTCTCTCTCTCTCTCTCTCTCTCTCTCTCTCTCTCTCTATCTATCTATCTCTCTATCTATCTATCTATCTATCTATCTATCTATCTATCTATCTCTCTCTATCTATCTATCTATCTATCTATCTCACCCTCTGTTGCGCTGCATCTTCCTCATCCCCGGCTAGTTGTGAAGAAGGCGCTGCTGGTAGTGGTGCGGCGGGTGTCGGGCGAGGACACGGGCCCACCCTCCCGCGGCGTGGTGATCCTCTGTCTGCTGCTGACCCTTGTGGCGGCCTGGGTGACCGACTTCATCGGCATCGACGCCATTTTCGGGGCCTTTGTTGCGGGCATCATCGTGCCGAGGGAGCACAGGTGACTGCTGCTGTTTCGCCGTGACGGACAAGTTCACTAACGCCCTTGCCAATAAAGGAAGGTGATGGGTTGATTTGAAGCACCTGAATCTAGCAGAGGAAACAAGAAAATTCTCTGGCAAAACACTCGACAGAAGAAAAAAAGGTATTTTATATTTTGTCAGTACACCCCACAGGAAGAAACGATGTTGTTGAGAATACAGAGCAGATGCCAGCAGATCTCAAGGGCATACAAGGCAATTGTGCGCGGAACAATCTCGTCTCGCAAGAGGTTGTAGATTCCGCCGACATCCGCGACGCTTTTGAGAAGCACGGGCGGCGGCGTAGAGCACGGCAAGCAGTGCCATTCGAAGCACGGACGGCGGCACGTGGTGCCACTTGGGTGTTCGTGATTCTATCGCCTTAGCGGCAAGACGATGTGCAAGAGAATGACCGTCACAGCTAAGGGCCAGATTCTTCTTAGGAAACACACGTGCGTACTGTTGTGGTCGTGCAAAGTGGCTCGTCGACGGTACGAGAGGAGTTGGGCAGGTCGGGGTAGTAGCGCAAGTCCGTGCTGCTTCACCGACTGGTCTCGTCCTGAGATTGGTGATGCGGAGTTGAGAGCACTGGTGATGGTGGTGTGTATCTTAGGCGAAGAAAATAACGAACTGGAACACTCGTCCTGGATGTGAGCCGCCAGGCGCACTGTAGAGAGAAGGGGGGCTTCGCTGATGGAGCAAATGCCGCGGAAGGTGATGCTCCATGTCGGCATATTTTTGTTGTCGTTCTGTCCCCGTCTTGTTTGGCTTAGAATGCACCTTTGCGTTTGTCCTGATTTCTGTTCATGGAAAGCTTGGTTGGAAACCGCGCTCTGATGTTGTCGTTTTGGTGGTGAGCATGGGGGTGGTAATGCTCTTGATTGTGGTATTTTCGATCTCCACGAGGTTCATCGTCGCACGCTGGCCCTGACACTCTCTGTGTCCCGCTTGTGTGTTCCGGTCTCTTTTCTCCTTCTTCTTCTCCGCCTTTTGGCGTCGCCATGTGTTGCGAACAGCCTGCACGTGCGCATCGTCGAGCTGGTGCAGGACGTGGTGTCGGTGCTGCTGCTGCCGCTCTACTTCGCGGTGTCCGGCCTGAAGACGGACCTCACTCTCCTGGACAGCGCCACCTTGTGGGGCATCTGCGCGCTCACCATTTCCGCCGCCTGCTTGGGTAAGGAGAGCTTGAAACGGTTTTTTCCTTCCTGCCCCGACCAACTACGTAATGCTTCTTCCCGCTCGGCTAGGCCGGGCGTCGGTCGGTTGCAGAGGCCCATACGCTTTGTTGGGTCGAAGGTTGGGGTAGTTGATTTCTTCGCCTTCACTGGGATTTTCAAGTTTGTGTAACTAGTCTGTTACTTCGTTATCAAACCGTTCCCGGTGATCTCCTGAAGTGACGCGCATCGGAGGACACGTGTTGGGTTTCGGTTTGGCATTTTCGCCCCGAATACTGCGACTACCCGAGCAACTAGTATTCTTTGTGACGGTCGGCATGTCATCAAACCCTCGCTGCCTCTGCCTGCCGTAGGGACTTGAACACGTCAAACCGCGTCTCGGTGCCTGTCGCACGTGGGCGGCGGCCCTTGATATTTTTTTTTTTATGGTGGTTGCTGTGTCTCTCATCGCTTTTCCTTGCGTTGGCATTGCGCTCGCTCCTCAACGAGACGTCGCGAAAAACTTGTATGTCAGTAAGCAGCGACAGCACAAAGGTGGCGGCTGAGAGGTCAAGAGCTACCTTCTATTCGTCCGTTCCTTCTTGATACAATCGCAGTTCGTTTTTTTCTCGGGCACCGCGGTGATGGGGTCGCCTCATCGCCCACCACTGCAAAATCTTGTTGTCTGCGTTCACGCGCCTCGGTTGGCCGTCTGTTTGACAACAGACAGCCCCCCTGTCTGAACCTGTCAGCAGAACATCCCGTCCAGCCCCCATCACAGCCGTACAGCATTGTTCCCCAGTCGTTTGTTTTGTTAAGCAAGCTTCGTGGGGGGAATAACACGCCAAAAGTCTGTTTTCGGTTCTTTTCGGAACAGCCCAGATAAATCCCCGTGACAACATACAGCGGGTGTTTTACCTCGAGAAAGCTTTGGTGTTTTTCCTGAAATGGGGGTATAAACGTGCCCCGATCCCCCTGTCCACAACTCTTGACGCCCCGCCTGCCACATATACACACCGTCCCAACAAAACAGGGAAGATCGGTGGCGGCTCCGCCGTGGCGAGATTTTTCGGCATGACCCCGCGCGAGTCGCTGGCCGTTGGCGTTCTGATGAACACGAGGGGGCTTGTGGAGCTCATCATCCTCAACATCGGCCTCGACGCAGGAGTGCTCACCGAGGTGTGCGTGTTTTTAATAGCATCGACCGCGCTAACTGCAATGAACAGACGTCAGTGCCAGCGGGTAAATATCAAAGTCCCTGGAAGGGGGACAAGATTCCGAAATATGCCCCAATACGCTGAACGCGAATGCCAATATTGAATATATCTACAAATCCTTTCACAGACACACACACACATCACGTTCTGTTTTGTTTTGGTGATAAACCCATTCGGGCATAGTCTGTGTGGTGCACCGTAAGCTTTATGAACCCATCCAAGCATTTTCGGTCGGTCGCGTGTCTTGTGGAACGCACGAAGAACGATGTATGCAACGAGGTGTCACAAAAGTGTAGCTTCGAAGGCTTCCGCTTGATTAGACAAAAAAACGAATTTGTGTGAGGTGTTGGGGGGCGGAAGAGGGTGGGACGGGAAGGCAAGGCGTGCTAACTGCCTGCTGTAAGAATAACCAACCCTTCAGCAGCAAACGACGGTGGATAGTCCTTTGAACGGAGTACCCTCCCCCAGACCGGGTGTTGTGCACGGCGGTTCACCTTGGCTTGTTGTTTGATTGTTGGCCAAGGAGAGCAACACTCTCCTGCCAGGGAATGATTGCATGTTGGTTTTTTTTCGCTCTTTTTTTCACTCGGTATCGTGGATGGTTTGATTGGCTAGCGGTCACGATCATGGCATCGCTTCGAGGGATGAACCGTGCCAGTAGTTCGGGTCATCTTCTTGGTAATGGGTACGATATCCCGAGCGCTATCGCCCTCTCTTCTTTGGCATGTGTACCCAACCCTGTCGCCCCCCCTCGCACCGCATCGCTTTGCACCGGTTGCCCCCCGTACCCCCCTCGGTACGTTTGACGTGCAACGTCTCCTCGACCTGATCTATTTTCAACGGCGTACGTGTGGCATCCCTGGCTATGCGGGCACGCCCGGCGCAACTGCTATTGTGTGACGTGCACACTTTTCCGCGCGTGTTTATGTATTTACCCGCCGGGATTGGCTGGGGGGTAACAACGCAGGAGGTGATGGCGATCATGGTGGTTATGGCCTTGGTCACCACGTTTTTGACGGCACCCCTATCGTCTTTCGTCTATCCCCTCAAGTGAGTTTTGCCTCGACGCGATTTTTCGCGATCGATTTTGTTCAACAAGCATTGGAGGGCTTGGGTGCACCGGCGCGGCGAGTGTTGTATTTAACGGTCGAAGGGAGGGATTACCGCGTACCTCGTGGTCGTTAGGTTTACGGATGCTTCAACAGGGTCGACGTCGTTCAAGAACGATCGGACTACTGTTTTTGACGTCATGAAACTAAATGCTGTCCCACGAAGAAGACTCCTGTCAGAACAACTTGTTCTGCCATGTTCATGTCCCCTACCCGCGCTTCTGCTGTTGCTGCTGCTTTTGCTGCTGCTGCTGCTGCTGCTGCTGCTTCTTTTGCTGCTGCTGCTGCTGCTGCCGCTACCGCAGGTACCACACCGTTCCTGGCCGTAAACGCCGCCGCCGGGCGTCCGAGGAGTCCGCGGCCACGAAGAACAGCCTCTCTCGCAGGCTCTCCTCCATCCCGGAGCTCGGCGAGTTCGCTCAAGAGCGGCTCACGCTCATGGTTCTCGTCGCGAACCCCGCCGCCCTCGACGCGGTCACGAGGGTGAGCGGGAGGGGGGCAACATACACGTTGGGGTTTGCTATGGTCCTTGGTCGCATTTTTTGTTGTTTTTGTCGTGGGCAGTCTGGAGGTTCGCTGGTACATACAGCAGGGAAGTGTTTTTTTTCCTAAATGTGTCTGCATCGACCGGATCTCCGTTTTGCTAGATACAGCACACCGGCGTCGAGGTTGTTCGGCAGCAAGCAACCGTTGTGCCCTGTACCACCCCCTCTGTAGTGGCCTGAAGTGTTGCCGAAGAGTTGTGTTCGCTCCGAGGTAACATGCTCGAACCCGTGCGTGCCGCTTCGCCATAACCCTTCTTTTTATTACGAAAACTTTCCCACGACGGCGGTCGCGGAGGGCTCGCGGCACGACGCATGAAGGAAGCAAGCGCTAGGGCTCGCATGTTGGGGCATTTTCCGTGGAGTAGCAATCCGCACGGCTACAACAGTATGGCAGACAAGGCTTAACAGTACGGCTTCGGCACCACTCACCTCATAATGGTGCTGACTGATTGAAACAGGCCATTCATGGCTCATTTTGTCTTATGGGGGTGGGCTGTCGCTCGTGTGGTAACCGCCACGCCAAGACTGCCGTGGATGGGTAAGCTTTTGTTGCATTGAAATCGAAACCGAGAGGATGCTCTTTACCAACGGTAGTCTTCTGGCGCCAACGGTACCCGCACGTCCGGCCCGGATATTTGCATGTGCAGATAGCGAGGTTATTCAGCGGGAACCAGCCGGCAGACAAGAATGCTGCCGGAACGACCCCTCGGCGGAAAGGAACCGGCGCACTTGCGGACAGAGAGGACGGACCGGTCGTGCACGCGCTCCGGCTTGTTGAGAACACCGACCGCTTCTCGAGCGACATGCGAGCGCTGGAGAAGGGTGCGTGCTATAGATACCGCTTTGGCTCTGCCGATGGGCTCGACGCGAGCACGCAGGCACTCACCCCTAACTTGTGCAGGCCGTGTTAGTCGTGGGCGGTCAGTTTGGCGAGAAACCGGATTTTTTTCTGGTATTTTTCTTTGTTGGAGACCCGCGCGGCCTTGTCGCGACTTGGTGCACACCCTTGACCCCTTAACCCTTTCATTCCATTCTCTGTTCGTCTCTCCCCCTCTCCGTGTTGGGCCCCTTCCTTCCCATCCTCGGTCCTGCTGTTTTCCCAATCCCCGGAAACCATGCAAATGGCGCGGATTCTTCCCACCGGCAACAGGCGAGACCCTGAACAAGGACGGCCTCGCCGGCATCCTCCAGGGATTCCTCGGGCTGCTCATGATCAGGGTCAAGTCGCACATCTCGGTGGGCACCCCGACCGACTTCTGCCAGGACGTGGCCCGCCTGACGGACGAACACGGCATCTCGACGGTCGTCTTTCCCTGGGACGCCGGGACGACGCACCCGAGCGCGCAGCTCGCCAGGGTGGAGAAGCTCATTGAAACCACCCAGCCGCAGGTGCGTTGTGTGTTCGACGTCCGTCCGGGCGCGGGATGTTTCCGGTTTCGTGTGACCTTCATTGAGAATGGTGTGGGCCGTTTTAAAATTGTACAACGAGTGTGTGCACCTTGCAAGGACTTTAGCATGGCGGTATGAAACTGTAATTTATCTTGTGATGAGTTTTTTTTGTCATTCGCAGCTGCCCAACACCCTCCACCCACCTCCCCAACGGCGCCCTCCACGCTCTCCGGTTCTCTCTGTCCTGCTACCGCACCTACCGCCGCCCCCGCTGCCGCCGCTGCCGCCGCGACGAAACAGTTCGTACTAGCGTTCAACTGCCAAACCGTGCTGGCGGCAGGCGGCCTGAGCTTGATGGTTCCGTTCTTCGGCAGCGACGACGACGTCGCGGCCCTCCTTCTCGCCCTCGCCATCGTTGCTCGCGACACGTCGGCGGAAGTGGTCGTTCTGTCTTTCCTCGAGCCCGAGAACCCGGCGACGGGGTCGCGGGAGGTGGACAATTCCCGGCAAGAGGTCGGTTTTTCGAGTCAGATCAACAGGCCGGGGGGGCGTACTCATTGCCGTGCATGTCGTAGACCATGGACCTCGCATCCGTGCAAAGCCGGGACGGAGCACGCCGGGTTCTCACAAGACCACGGCGGAAGGGGGTGGTTTTGTTGCCGTAGTGTGTATCGTATTGATGTAAGGCCGTTATGGACGGTGCGTCCTAGGGTGGTCCATCTCCTGGAAGCACGTCACGCACACATTTTGTTACGATACGTGATCGTCACGAGAAATGATCCCGGCCGCTGGTCCCGACATGCTAAACCTGTTTGGGATGGCGGGCCTTTGTCAACCTCCGCTCGCCGGGCAGGCACACTGGTTTACGAGTTGTGTGGAAGTCTGTTGTTGGACTCAGTCCCTAATTGTGCTCTGGCGTTTCCTTGCAAAGAGGAACCACGGAATATGCAGTCGTGACAAGGTCCGTGGGGTGGTCTCCACATTTCTTTGGCAGAGAAAATAATTGTGGGCAAGTTAGAACCGAACAGGGAAAATTTCGGAACACCACTGTATACAATGTGTTCACCCCTGGGAAGCTCATGCCACCAGCCTGGCCGGAACACGTTCCTACACACACGCACCGTTTTGTTTTCTAACAAGTTGCCGCCGCCGCTGCTGCTGCTGCCACTGCTGGTGCTGCTGGTGCTGCTGGTGCTGCTGCTTGTTCGCACCACAGAACGGATCCGTCATGACCGCGTTCGAACAAGGACCCCCGGGAGACACCGACCTGGAAACGGGCGGCGCCGTGGCCGTGCAACCGGGGTCGAATCCCGGCACCCCAGCTCCGACCGCCGCCGCTGCCGCTGCCACCCCCACGGTCGGGGGCAACGGTAGCAGCGGGGCAGCTTCTACTGCTACTGCTACTGCTTCCGCCGGGGTAGTCGGGTCCGACACGCGCAGCTCATGGTCGGCCCGCGAGCTCCTGGCGAGAGCGGAGGGGCTCCCCCAGGTTCGCGTTACGCCGGCGTGGTCCCTGACCGCGGCGCTCGGCGCGATGTCGTCGTCTTCGTCGACCGTGAAGTCGGAGGCACCCTCGATCGTCCAGCAGGTGGCCACCGCACAGTCCATCGGGCTCGTGCTCTGCGGCTGCGCCGGGTCCGGGCAGCCGCCGCTGGTGACGGTGCCCGGGCAGCAGCAGGGGGGGGGAGGAGGGGCGGCGGGCGCCGGCGCCGGCGCCGGTGCCGGTGCCGGTGCCGGTGCCGGTGCCGGTGCCGGTGCCGGTGCCGGTGTCGGTGCCGGGAGCAGCGACGTGCCGCTTGCCGGGACGAGGTCGGTGCACGGGAAGTGGCCATCGCTGGGAAGCCGGCACGGACCCGGCTCGCTCATGACGCGCAGCTGGCACGGGAAGTCGCGGCACCACGCCCGCGGGAGCCACCGCGCTCGCGAGGCCGCCGCCGCCGCCGCCGCCAGCAACGCCCGCCTCGGAGGGAGCCGGCCGGGGTCCCACTCGAGGCAGAGCGGCTTGGCGTCGGCGGTGAAAGGGGTGATCAACACCGCCCTGTGGGACATCGTCGGGGACGTTGCGGCGGGGCTGGTGAGGTCGGAGCCCGCGCCGGCTGTGCTCGCAGTGCGGTCTAGCATGCCGGTCACGTCTGCAACGGTTTGAGGGGTTCAAAGGTCGCCGAGAATGTGGTCGTCGATTTCTTCATGGCGTTAGGGTCGGCAGTCCCGTGGCGGTGCGCACGTGAGCAAGAGCCAGGGAAACAAGAACAGGAAGCTATGGCCCAGACAAGTATGTGGCATGGAGTGTTAAGATGCCAAGAACTTGGTTTTCGCTTCGCTGAGGGAGTGACGAGTTTATTGATGGGATGGAGATATGAGAAAATGGTCGTCGCGTGGGAGATGAATAAGGGAGGCGAGTTTTGGTGGAATGGAGACGAGAAAATGGCCGAATGGGCGACCGCCGAACTACGTTAACTCTGTTCCATTCTTGATGCTTGTGCTGAGATATGCTCTCTTTGTGTGCTTGTGCTGCCAACCGAGCGGCGAGTAAGTATTAATATTTGGTAGTCAATCGCGCCGAACGGAGGCTCTTTTATGGAACTCGTTTTCAAGGGGTACGGGTATTTGTGTAAGATCACACTCTTGCAGCGGGGCTCTCCGGTTAGAGACGCAGGCCGTAGGGCAGTTACAAACCGCGAGAGCGACAATAGCATTTCGACGTGGGTACAATTGGAAGTCTAGGCCAATTTTTAAGTATCTTGTTGCATTTGTGTTTTGGCGTAAAGCAGCCATTGCGTCCTAGAATTGTGATAAAGTTTTCGTTTCTGACTGTCGTGTCTTTTTTGGCAAACGTTACCGTCGAATTGTGTTTTGTCGTCGTCAATGTTGGTGTCGGTGTGGTATGTATGTTTCGGTAGGTTGTTTGGGGAGCCTCGCAGCATGGCCTGTGCGTAACGCCGGTTGTGTGCCCGGTTATCGAATGTGCTACGTGAAGCAACGATCACGACGATAATTTATTTGTTTTAATTTAACGTATTATTCTGCCGAGATTGTCTGGCGATGGCGAGAGTGCTTGACGAGGGCGGAAAAGAAAGACAGCGGCGGTAGGCCTGGCACTTTGTTTGTTAGTTGTCGGACCTAGAAGTTCCGGATCACACGACCACATGTATGTATGAAGAGCAAAGATCAAGGTAGCTTTGAGAACAGCAGTGGCGGGGAAGGCAATAGAACCGAGTGACGCGGAGTAACAAATGGGAGTTTCTTAAGAGTGAGGCCCAGGCTGTCATCCACGACGAAGCATCGTATATAATACAATGTGTGATGTTTGCTGCTCGCATTTCCATTTAGTTCCGCGATTTCGGTGCGGTGATAGCAACTGTGATGCGCGGTGGCGTGTCGCCTCAAGGGCAGTGAATGGTCGCCCGGGGTTTGGCCTGCGTAGGTCAAAGAACAAAACCGGGGTGACAGCCGTGAAGGACCAAGTAAATCGTTGTAGTTTTCAGCCCTGAAAGAGCACGTACATACCCTTATCGATAGCGTCTTATGTAGTCTTGGTTCCGTGCATGCGTGTTGGGACCGATTTGTACATGTGGATGGCTCTAACTTCATTTCATTGGTCGAGACATCGCACTTGGTACAATAGCAGTCAACCTGAAGTGGGTGGTTTCGCGTGCGATGTTACCTTTTTTCGCGATGGTCATTCCCTCAGGGGGGACGCAACGCCGTGATCCCCTCCCCCCCGCTGCCGAGGAAGTGGCGTTTCGTCAAGTAAAGGGCGTATAGTTGGAGGAGGGTAAGCAGGAAGTATAGTTGGGGAGGCGAACGGTACTGATGGAAACATACTTATCACAAACCAGAGTTTCTGAAAATGCGCTAGTGCAATGAAGCGGGAAAAAGCAAAATTTTTTATATGAGACATTAGGCTCAGATGCGCCAAACCATCCTTGTTTTCGCGATGGCTGCGCAAGATAGAGCGTTGATCGTTCCTTGGACGAACCTCCGGTGGACATGTTCGTGTTGCGGGAATGTCAACATTGTTGGTGCTTTTTGCGCCGTATGCATGAAAATTTAATCCAAAACTTGAGTGCGGGACCACTACAGACTTGTTCTCGTGCATTAGGCGTGACCAGCAGCGGGCACCCCGGCAATCGTCGTGACAAGAATCGTGTGGGCTGGCATGCGTTGCAGTGTGTGCGTGGTCGCTCCCTTCTCTGTTTGCGCTGCAGACCATTACAGAGTGTGGGGTATTTTCGCATCTCAAGAGTTTAAAGAATGTATACTAAACATACACACAAGACGCGAGCAACGGCCATACTCTCACTTTCACCCTTCTACTGTAGTGCAGTGCCATGTAGATCGGTGAAAACTATGATTGCCTACTACCCGCTCACCCAGCAACACAAAAAGCAAGGAAGTGGCCTAACCCCCCCGCCCTCCCCCTGGCCGACGTGGTCTGCTGTTCTAATCGTCAGTCGTCGCCGCTATCGCTCATGTCGAAGTCTTCCTCGTCGTCTCCGCCGATTCCTGCCGTTCTCCTGCTGCTGCTATTCGTGCCACCACCTCTCGATCCCTTTGGAGAGTTTGCCTGCACCGTGGTACCACCCATGCACGACACACGGTTGGTTAAGAAGAGCGTTCAAGACGCCAAAGATCTTTGCCTCAAATAACGTGCTTAAATACAAGGCAAGCGGTTGTCAGCATTGAGCCAACCACGTACGTACATCCGTAACGACAGTAGGATGTACGCGTACAACCTCGGGAAATCGCTACAACCATTGTTTTGAGTCCTTCTCGTAAACTGGAAGAATTTTCTGAGGGTGTTACCTCGGAAGCCGTCCCCTGCGAATAGTGCAGATTCCGGAGAAGGTGTTGGTCAGAAGACAGCAACACGCTTGAAGCTGGAAACACCACGACCACCACCACCACCACCACCACCACCACCACCGCCATCTTTCCCACTTTCTCGACCAACCACAACAACACAGAAAATGGCTCCAATAATTTCTTGTTGAAGAGGAGTTTACCTTGCTCCTGCGTATTTTCGTGGACAGGAGGGTGTGGCTCACGACACCGATGCGCAGGTCAAAGGTCTTGATCTCCGCCTTCACCATGATGAGGATGGCGAGTCACAGGGGGGGGGGGCAGGGGGGAGGCGACCCTTCAGTAAGGCACGTCGGACCCGAAGTTGTTCTCCGCGGTGTTTCAGCACCGCCGGCAACAACGGAAGAGCATGGGTGACATTTATCCTCTCTCTATGCTATCCCTCTCCTCTTATAGTCGACATGCCGCCGAGCTCATTCTGGGTCTTCGTATTGCTGCATTTCTCGGTCCAGCTTTTCAATCAGGATGACCAAAACTTTGTTTCGCGCGTAACTTGCGCGGAGATTAACGCTCCCCGGCGCCTTGTACGGAAAGGGCACTGACGCAGGACTGTGGGTTGTGTGTGGGCTGCTGTGCTCGTGAAAGCAGCAACCTCGTCGTGGTTTAAATGACGCTGCAGCCGGGGAATTTTCGACTCCGTACATACTCCGTTTCCCGAGTTTTCGATGCTTTCGAAGATCAACGGCTTTGTCTGCCTCCGGAAGAGAGGTAGAGGAACTTGAAGGGCTCCTCTTCTTTATCACCAGCGGCAGCTAGCTCTGCTGCATCCTTAGGGTTGATCTTACAACCATTTGCTGTGCGTGAAAGGTGGTGCCCCGTCCCGTTGGACAACTCACCTTGATCTGCTGCAGCGCCTGCTTTATGCTCACCAAAGGGCTCGCCTCGCTCATCTGAACAAACAGCAACCAGGCCACACGCAGCACGCCATATCACACAGCACAACAAGCCACGGCAAGGCGAGCGGGCACACCGTTGGGGTCAGCTGACGAGAGTCGTTGACACGCCTTGCTCGAGGGAGACAAGTATCAATATTTGGTTTTGCCCTGGGTGTTCCTCCGTACGTTCCAGAAAATGATCGTTTCATGAGCGTGGAAGAAAAGGCGATAGTTTTGGTGCACCCGTCCCCGCATAGAAAGACACGCACGCCCCATCATGCATTGCTGGGCATCTCATTGCAAGCGGGACAGCAAACGCAAGCAATGCCAAAGGTCGCACTAGGGTCGCTAACGTGTTGGCATACGGGAAACCTCGCTAATAATCGGTGCCCGAAACGTGGGGCAAAACCTTTCGACGATGTTCTGTTTGGACAGATCAGAAAACTGTAACCCACCAACATGTGTATGTTTTCATGGAAGTTAGGTCACTGATCTGAAGATTAGTATTCATCCGGAGGTTGTGCAACGCTACCAACAACAGCAGGGAGGTTGTCGGTCGAAATATCCAGACTGGAGGCGAAACCGTTCAAAGTTCTGCGTTGCTTGACACCCGTCCTCTGATATTAGAGCCCATACACCTGCAGTCACCACTCAAAGCGAACACAGAAGCACAGAGTGGTTGGTATATAGCAATGGTATCACCAGAGTGTACTGCAGAGAAACGGGAGTGTGCGAGCGCAAGAGATCCTCAGTCGGCCGTACCGCGTCCCCCTTGGAGTCCATCTTCTCCTTGAGCTCCTGGAGCTCGTCGCTTAAGGCCGAAAGGGACTCCGTAAGTTCCCCCACCGACCCACTCGTGGTTTGGTGCTTCAGCTCCACGGCCTTCAGCTCGTCATGGAGCTATCGCAAGTGGCCATCGGCGGCGTTGTCGGCGCAGTTGTTTCGAGCATTGTAGGTTTGTTGTTGCATTTAGGATGGGTGGTGCGGTATGTTGATGAAAATGGTACCTTCCAGGGTAAACATTCGGACAAACTACGGTGACATTGCAGTGGTAAAGTAGTGCACGTACACAACACAGAAGGCCACATACACGAAAGACAAACGAGAGGTCGCCAGGGTCGTAAACATCAATGAAAGATCAACATCGTTTGTGACAGCACCGAAGACACCATAAACTCAACGCCAAACACAGATATCGCCATCCACAATGTCGACGAAAAGACAGCAACAACCGTTTCTACCGCAACTACTATTTCGTCGTACGCCCCAACAGCGACAACAAAATCAACCTGGACGTACTCCTCCCTGAGCCCGTCATGCTGGTTGTTGATGAAGCGCTCCTTTACCCGCATCTTTTCCACGCTCTCGGTCACCTTGGTTGCGTTTCATGTCGGCAGGTCGATATCAGCAGAGAATCGAACCCGAAATTGACTACACCACAGGTATTCGACGCACGACAGACATGGCATGCTGTGAAGAAGTTGTATCGGAGGGAGTTTCAAGGTATCCTCATGCAAGGGGGTCGACGAACGATTGTAAACCGTTCTCCCGCAAACTTATGAAACACAACACGACTTTCCAACCTCCCAGGTGAGAACAGCCACTGCCTTCCGTGTACATGTAGCACGCAGGCAAGGTTACAAGGAGTTCCGCATTTCACAGGTTCGTCCGAACACGATAAATATAAACAGCGACAAGTAAGATGGTCTAAAGGCAGAAGGTGCGTTCACCTCAGCTCGTGCTGCTGTGTATGGTGGTAGCGGATAGATAGGTGGTCCCCTTTAGTAGCCACGGAGTTATTCAACGACACTCCGTCCTTCTTGCTGGTTGCTCGTTGCCCTTTCATCACGGGGCCAACAAGTCTTACGGTAACTTCGACAAAAATCGTGTGGACTTCAAAGCACGACCCCAACCACTGGCAAACACTACTTCCAAGCATATTTATTTCAAGAGGAGCCCAGATAAATATACGAGTATCCAACGTAGCATTCGTTTTTTAAGGAGAGCTGCATCTTGGAGATAATGCCAGCATGCTTGACATTGCGTGTCTTGCAACCTTACCTCGGTCCCTATCAGAGCGAGCTGTGTCGTGGTCACGGGCAAGGCGGCCTGGATCGCCTCCTCGTGCTTCTTGGTCTGCTCGACGTGCCCTCGCCACTCCTTCCCCGCAGCAGAGGCCGCCATCTGCATGCACGCAAGCACGAGCGGCGTGGCGCCCAACACGATACACCATCGCCTATTGAGCTTCCGTCCCTCTAATATTTCTCACGAATATCCAATGAGAAGTACTAGGACAGATTCAGCCATGTTTTTACGCTGGAGCCTTTTTCCGATTACGGGCCAGGGGGGGGGAGGGCTTCTTCATGCGCCGTAACGCCCGAACCTGCGCAGCATCGCGTACTGAGCTACCCCCAACTCATCTTCCGGCCGCTCAGACGTTGGGCGCCGGTACTGACTTCGATGTCCAGTACCATTTCGGTTTTTTCTGCACGTTGGTCATCTCTTCCTGAGGTAGGGGCTGTCATTGTGTTCCATCTGAACCCCATGGCAACACGGACGTATCTTCAACCCTTTTAGCGGCAGCCTGGATTCTACGGATTATCTTCCAACCCGGACACAATTTTGAGCCTCGCCAAAGAGTATTAGATACTTCAAGAATGTTTTACCTCCATCTGTAAGGATATCAAGACGAAATTCTATAAGGTTGTCCCCGCTACCGAGGTCGTTGTGTGCAAGAGTTATGAGGAGAAAAACTAATCGCGTCGCAGGCCAGTCGTTTCTGTTTCCCCCACGTTCGCCCTCGCTCCTCGGGCGGATTGCTTGCTCACAGCGTCCTACTACACGCATAATGAATGTCACATTGAATGGATCTTGTCCGCTTTCTCGACCACCCCCGCATGAATGGATTCCTCAGGTGGCCTCCTAGTCTTCGTCGTTGGAGGTCGATTTGCTGAACCCTCGCACATCTCAACGTGCCGTTCTCCCGCCGGTGGCGACGTTCACAACCGTCCCGGTGTACTACAAAATCCTTGCAATTTCTCGTTGTTTGTCCCCGGGTGCGTCTACTCGACTACCGCTGTAGTATGTTCGGAGCAGCGAGGATTTCATGGCACCGGCCCTCGCCTGCCATGCCCCCCGATCCCATATCTCGGCTTCACCTTGCCCGTCCAATCTCTTCCCTGTGCTGGTCTGAGTATTGGCGCACCTGCGGTGTCGTCCCTCGCTCTTTTCGTGCGGGTTTTCACAAACGTGTATCCGAGTGGCTGAAAAATATTTCCCCCGACTCACGCGCTCCGGGTCTCCTTCCATGGCTCGAGATTCGTAGACACACGTTTCTCCCTAGGCCTAACGCACTCCATAGCCCGCGTGTGTGCTGTACTAGGTACCCCTTTGTCCACTCTACCTGCTGCTACAGCTGTGGGCGGCCTGCACTCTCATTCGCATACCTTGAGCTTAGGACCCACGCGCTCCAACTCTCGCTTCCACTCCACGGGGTCGACCTTGGCTTCGAGCATGGCTGCCTGGCTGTCGTTGACCCCCATGTCGTCGTCCTCTTCGGCCTGAGACAAGCGAGAGAGAAACAACCCATTTGTTTGCACGACTTTGAAGTCGGGATGCAACCAGGACCCAGTATGGCGACAGCGATCACAAGCACCGTACCTAAAACCGCATTGGTGAGAGTGATAGGGAAAAACAGCGACAAACACAACCAGAGGGGAAAACGGCCAACCCTTCTAGCGTTCTTGTCTGATACATAGATTACAACAAAATGCTATGTAGACACAATCTGAACACACGGCAGCGGTTATCGCAGCACGCAGATGTGGTACCGTGGGGGAAAAGCATCCGCGTGGGTGAGATCAAGGAAGTTCAAAATCAACAGGACCATATCTGTAAATACGATGATAGCGGTGCAGCAGACCGTGCGTGCGAGACGAAACTACTTTCACCTTGATTAGGTCGGAAAAGTCCTGCTCGTCCTCTTGCTCCTCCTCCACCTCTGCCTCGTCGGCGATATCGGCCATGTCGCAGTCGTCTACCGGCTCCGCCTCCTCCGCGGCGTCCTCGGCCGCGTACACCGGCCTCCGCCAAACGAAACCCGTCGCCGACAGCGCCTTGTCCGTCAGGAAGTTCAGCACGGAGCACGCCGCCTCGCCGTACGCCTGAGGACCAGTAGTTTTTTTGTGTCGGGGGGAGAGACAGAGGTTCGGAAGGGGCGATCGAGGGGAACGCTTGAGGTGCTGCGTTCTCCCACATCTTTTGAAATGGCGTACATGACCCTTTCTAGACAGAGAAAGAAAATTGTTAGGGTCCCGTGGGTCGGAGGCGTTGTTGCCTACGTCGCACTTCGCTTCTGGTTCTTGTTGAAATTGTCACCGACTGACAGCCGGCAGGCAATACCGTCATCGTTCCACCAAAGTGAAGCAATGCAGACTTGCCGCGCGCGCCTCTCGAGATGTCGCAACGTTCCAGGTCCTTGCAGACCCATGTACTTTCGGCAGACGTGCGTTTCTTTCCTCTGCGTTGACTTCGCCCCTCGCAGGTCAACCACTGTGCCGCCGTCCTCTTGAATTCAAATGGTAGGGGCGTGGAAGGCATTCACCTATATTGCTTGCCAAGTTAGCCTACATAATGTACAGTGGGACAAACTCAAGCCACGTCTCAACATCACATATTGTGGACGGGCTTCCTTCTTCCCGGTTGTTACTGTCCGTAGAGTATTGCACACACCTGCTTGAGGCGGTTGGCGGGAAAGTTTAGGTCGAACCCCATGCCCGTCAGCGCCAGCATGAGCTTGTTGACCGCCGTGTTGGGGTCGTCGTACTTGTCTACCTGGTAACGGACATACGCGGTGTAGACTAACCCCGGTTAGAAGAATGCCACCGGCGTGAGAGGTTCCAACTCCGCACACATTAGTCTTGTGAGGGCAGGCATTGAACGTGGGCGAAGCACTGTACAGAACGCAAAATTTCCGTGTGGGTGCAGCAACGGCTTGTTGCCGGCTTCGTAGCTTGCTGATCATGAAGTTTGCTGTTCTGCACCCATCTCAGAGCCATCCACGTGCGCCTGCACCCAGATAATCTCCCGACGATCTGGTCTTCACCCGTTTTCGAGAACGTTTCCAGAACGGCTCCCGATCCCACCCCACGTTTTCTGCCATCCACCTCGTTCCTACTCAAGCCGCTTTGTGTCGAGCACTGGTTGTACCCGATACTCCCCTTGCGATGCTATCCTAACATAAAGCCTGAAGTAACAAAAGCCTCGCCTTAAAAAAATCGTTCCTGCCGTTTCCAGCCCCCAGGTTGATGAGCCAGGACGAAATCTCCTGGAACGACCGCCACTATTGAAGACATGCACCATCAGTATGGCGCCAGGGAGCCAGCCATCGCGGTGCGAATGCAATACGCCGCCGAACGATATAGCGAGGAAACGGGCGACGTGTTGTGGGGGGGTCGTGTTGATAGGCAGAGATGTTCCCAAACGATGCACGTGCAGAGGGGGCTCAGTGTTTTTCACCGTCGCCGCCTCCCTAGGGTGTGCGCGTGCCAGGGGTACGGGAAATACATCCCCGTCTAATCGTGATACGGTTAACAATACCTAAAACTCGATAGAAACACCTGTAAACGTGTGTACTTCCACGAGTCGTGTACTCCATCAAGTAGCCAACCACGAAAGAGCTACACTCGTTTTTCCCGACCGGCAAGTGGTGGTCGTTGTGGTCACCTGGAGGCTCGCGTTCGATCCTGGAATAGAAAAGTACGACCTTCAGCAGCCGTGCGATGCGATGTGATGTTTTGGTTGGTTCCGGCACCCACCATTCGATCAGCAGCAAAGTGCGTTCATTTACATGGTCCCGGGTCAGGTTGCGGATGACGATTGTCGTGGAACGGGATTGGGAACGATTAACAGGTGCTAGAAAAGCCCCCCGTGCATGGGTGTGAAACGGGTGGAGCGTTCCAAAGTCTGCAGTATCAACGCGATCTTCTTCCCGATGTTGTAAAATACGCAGGTTGCCGCAACAAGGAGGAATGCTGGAGGAGTACCCGTACAAGTTGTTTGATTCAAAAAGGGGGTGGCGTCCTGAACGTTCCGGTTTTAACAAAATACTGGATGACATCTCTGTCGCTGCATCGATACGACTTTCAACGTTGGGGTCTCTCAACATTACGTGGACGTTTACGCACCCTACACATTTCCACGGTAAATTGGTTGCGAAAATGGACGTCCAGTATATGCAAACTCTCATACTTTAACCCTCCTGTTTTGTCCCCTAGTGCAGTTTCCTCAAGTATACCTGTTGAAAGGTTGCAAGTTATTGGGCTTGCAGAAGCTCGCCTCGTAGTCCAGAGCCTTGAGCTTCTCTAGTGCATCTTCCCAAGCTGTAAACGCCGTGCTCTGCGCTCAGCAAGCCGAACGTTGAAACATGCGAAAGAGAATTGCGATGAGTCGGAACCAACAGCCGTCGAGCTTCGCCTAGCCAGCTAAACAAAGAGCGGCAGGAGCATCACTACTTCCATATGTAGCAGCCGTTATCAACGTACCATTAGTCTAAGCCCCTACACATGTACTGCTGTACAGCAGTAGCACAACGGACAATCGATCATCGTTTCCCACACCAGTATTACTACTTGCGCCCTCTAAAACTACCAGCAATCTTGCGCAGAAGTAATAATTGTACGAAGGCTAATGAATTCATTTTCGAATCCACGAGTTGGAAGACGCATTTTCGCTCACCGAGTAAGGGCTATCATCTCCCTGCGTTCGTCTGACCCTGCCCGCATCACCGCCTTCCGCCATGGTCTTAGCTCGTCGGTCTTTCTATGGAGTCGCGCGGCGCGAAGAAGTCTGGTACCACTGAGTACGGCCGTGGGTACTGCTAGGGTAGACGTGAGGGCCACCCAAAAGCTGGTGTGCTGACAGGGAGATGTATTCTGCAACAGGAGACCACGCACAGCAGCACAGCAGCGACTGTGTGAGCGGATGTTCTACACTTCAACGGGCCGATCATGATCCGGTTGCCCAGGCGGGAGCACGTTGTGTTGCCGCCTTTTCTGAGGAATTAGAGGAAAAGGTCCACGTACCACATGCTTTGAGTGTCATGGGATACAAAGGCGTGCCGCAAGTGCTTCGTCTATGTTAAGTACCATGTTGGGCGCGATATCGAAGCTACGGCAACGTGCACGACAAGTCGAACCTGTCAATTCATGGAGAGTAGGGATGTGACGGACCTCAGCCGGACGATCCGTAGACTTGCGGTACTGGGCACACAAATACCACCAATTCAGACCAATTGATCCACCCGTACCTTCTCTATGCTTGCCCACGCGCACCACACTTTGCGCGGCATCAAGCGATCTCGTGTACAATCCCAACGCGTTGCGCGTCGCATAGGCAACAGTGGTTGGAGCCAATACTGGAAAAAAAAAAAAAAAAACTCCACAGTGTATCTTTCATCGGAGATTCGACGGTTTCAGAAATGCGGCGCAATAGAAATATCTACTACAGTTTAGTGCAGATCTGCACCCGGCACAGATTTTTCGGAGATCCGTATTTACCCGTCCGTGCAATCCAGAGGTATCGCCTGATGCCATTGACAGCATTTATGCTCTAGCCGTCATACCAAGACTTGCGACCCAGCAATACACGTCTCACGCAACGTGACAACATCGAAATACCGTTCGTCCTCGAGGAATATCTCCCAGCGACCCACGAGGTGTAGCGCGAAAGACCAGCAGAGGAACAGCTAGGTGATGCTGATTTCGGAGCAAGAAAATCAATACAGAAAAGAGCCTGCACTGTCCACGTATTGTAAGTATTTCAAGATTTTAGAGGCTAGCAGTCTACCGACGTGATATGTTGACGAAACACCAGTCAGTGCTGTAACTCGTTCAGATTGGAATACTGCCGTAGCGTCAAGCCACTGGCCGTGATTCGATACGCCACTAGACTATACATACCGCAGAGAGGGAACTGCTGTGACATCTATGCAGACCTCGCCTGTATAGCAATGGCCTTATTTTTTTTCAGTCGAAACACAACTAACTGCTGTACCCCCACAATTGTTGGGTGGTTTGTTGCGTGGGTTGCCGGCGGTGCATCATACCGTGCGGCTTGGTACCCCAAGGCTGGCATCGAACCCCCCAACTGCACCACTGTGAAATTTCAGGGCCTCTGCTTGTGAAGAAAACACTCGCGGCGGGTCTCAAAGGATGTCCGGGGGTGCGGACTTGATAGCTCTCAGCGACCTCCTCCAAGGAGGTGGGTCTACAGGCGTTATAGCCCTAGACAACAGATGATCAACGTGTCATATTGTATCAGACACCAACCGCAATGCAAGGACCCGGAAGTGACTGCAACCCTAAAGCAGTATCTCATTCGCGAGCCTTGCAAGTATTTTCGTATTTTCCTTATTCTCTGAGACTATTATATGTAATGTCGAACACGCTTTCAGCGTCAGAGTTTGCCAGACGTGCCTCCGGCGAAGTCTCAACCACTATAACGACGTATTGCAGGGGGGCCACAGGAGGTGGAGCAGGAAATAGGGGTTTGGTCTCACGGCGGGTTTCTTGGGAAGCCTGGTCTTTCAACAGGTTACCAGTCACGGTGAAGTATATCCAGGCGCAAAGGGGCACGATGATGGATTGGAGGTTGTTCCAGTCAATCGCACGGGTTCTAGTTCTGCATGTTCCTTTTTAAACTAAGGTTGCCTAGAGCTAGCTATATCCCACGCACTTTCGCTCCTGTTGGCAACCACTGAAGCAGGCCAGGAAGATCAAGATGAGCGGGCCCACGCCGACCAAGCGCAAGGCAAAATTTTTACACCAGGGGACTTCGGGCCACCTCGAATCGCAGAGAAACCAACGCAGGCAAGATTCCGTCGAGCTCCGGGTACTCCACGAATGAAGACATGGGTGTGTTGTCGAGGGTGTGGTTAGGGGCACTTTGAGGGTACGCGACCTGCCAAGAAATCGCATACATCAATGGCACAGCCCCCATCGCCAAGGTGTCAACGACAGGTTGCACCATAGTGCCTAACTTGTGCCATAACAAGGGCGTTGTTGTGCCATAGCAAGGACGTGTACATTTCTCGCCTCTCTACCTGCAGAATATTTCTTTCCTCCCTACCGGCGAGAACGGACGCAATAGGTTAGAGACAAGATGGATTATGGAAACAGCTAGCGGGTCACGAACTTTCTTAAGCGACACCTCGTACACCCAAAGAAGGGCCTCGTGAGCGGCTCTCGACCCACCTCAAGATCAATCTTGACCCAGCTCCGCCTACATTGTTGCCATGTTGCAGGCAAGCAAGCCTTCCGACCCTCACGCAATATGGAGCGAAGAAGAGGCCCAGGAGCAAGACGACGCCTTTTTCGACCCTAACGACAAGCGGCCCCAACCAGAGTGAGAAATCATCTCCTGCCTATGCATATGATTCTCCTGACAGAACAATGGAACGCCACTAAACTAAACGTGTGTAGAAGAAGCTTGTTGTAGACTACAGGCCTTCACAGACGCATGTACACTCGCAAACACACACATCCAGTATCTTTGAACATCTTCGCTGCTGTTGTTCATGAGGAAGCACGCTGCCTCCTTCCATGGCACTAAAAACTGGCCCGTGCCCTTCCTGTGCTACTAGCTATCCATACCCGGAGGGTGTACAACCGCCTCCTTAACTGGAACAAAGGCAAACAGGTACCACTTGTTGATCCTCAGACAACAAGCTTGGCCAGTCTAACGCAGGGGTACTTCCCAAAACGTCCCGTTCCCCCCAATAACCCGGCGACCTCGAACGGAACGTGCCGCTCGCATCAGGTACGACTTTGTGTACAAGCAGAGCGTCATGACCGAGGACACTTTTCTCGGAATGGCGGGCAAAACCCCGGGGTCCCAGGTGGGTTGAAGAGTAGAATACGGTACCCTTTGAGATTCTCTGCTGAGCACATATGGGGTGTTTACTGTGCAGCAAGTAACCTTTACCACGCGCCTCCGCGTGAGCACGCAGGCCATTCGCAACGAGGAGATACCGACACAAAAGCTTTGCTCACCCCGGCTGAAAGCATGCGGATGTACCACAAGCGGGTCGACTAGTAGACCGACGATCACAAAAAACATGAACAGGCAGAAGGGCATACCCCCCGCCGTCGCGGTGCTTCGAACTCTTGCACAGCAGAACGGTCGCCCATACCGAACGCTCGCCGATCCTTCACAAGTGTGGTACGGAACAGCAGTCCCATGTTGGTGGTTCTCTTTGACGTATGCGGCATGCAACACTTGAACGTGGAATCGAAACCTTGTCAGGACTGCACGCACATCGTGGTGAAAGTGGTGTTCCCCGAGTGCCGAATGCGCGACCTGAAGCTGGACGTCACCAGACGGGCTTTCCTGGCCGCCAGCCCGAAGCTGTGAGTTTGATCGTACCCACACGCTGTTGCCCTGGAGCATCGAAATCACGAGCGGAAGGCTGGTAGTGCAGTAGGTAGACGCAAAGGCAAGCAATACATCACGAGCAGTTCCTCATCCTCAGCGCAAGGCAGTGGTCCCCGCCTAGAAAATGCAGTGGCTCACGATGACGTGTAGTGATGTAGCTCTACTAGACGACGTCAGTGCATTGTCGGCATGAAACTCTCTAGAAAGTACAAAAGTTTCCGCCGCTTACGTCAGTGGTGCAACTTCTGCAAAAACAAATAAGCCGACCTTGACGAGATAGAAACGCATTTTGAGCGACCAGAATTACAGTACGTACCCGCGGACCTAAGATCAACACCGCTTTCAACGCATTTATTTGCGGTTGCCCTTTCCGCAGGCGACTAGCGACCTACCTGCCTTTCCCTGTAGACGAGACCAAGGGGGTGGCCAAGTGGGATGCGGGGAACGAGACGTTGTCAGTCACCCTGCCCATCGTCGAGGCTGAGTGGTAGAGCTCCAGCGTGTTTCGGAGGAAAGCGTAGGCTCCTGCTTAGCACGGCGATGGTTCGCTGAGCCATGTTGCAGTGCGATCAATGGAGCCTTGTAATCGGGGTGGTTTGTATGCTGCGGCTGTGGCGATGTGTTGTTATCTTATCTGCGGGTGTACGGAGAGATACGGAACTTGCCCGAAAGGAGGCTAGTGAACGCTGGATCAGCGGAAACCTCAATTGTGGCAGATCGATTTGACAAATAGGATTGGATTTGTCTTCTAACTTTCCTTTGCTACCCCCAAAATCAACCCTTCTTGTACTTTGTTAAGTCTGCGTTGTCTGAACCAAACAACGGTTATAGGTACAAAAAATCTAGAACGTTAGTGCCAACCGTCCGTGAACGTCGATCTCAGATATATATGCAGCCTAATGGCTTGAAAATGTGTTGTTCGTGAATTATCGGTTGTCCTCCATCCGTGAGGGCAAGGAAGGAGAACTCAAAAAAGAGAGATTGAGCCTAACACGGCTCACACACACAGCCCAGAGTCAATAGCCCATAGAGGCAAGCTCCCAACCGACACGACACCGTCGCTTGGGAGAGAAACACACCGACAGAGTGTGGTTTTGTACACTTTGGACATACACCCTTTTGAAGTACGGCAGTAGTAGTGCTGGTGTTTCATTTTGAGGAGAAAATCTTGGTGGCGTCATCCCGAAACGGCTGTTTCCCTCCTACGGCTCATGCCGCTGAATCATGCAATGCTCGACAAAAGCACCCAGCAGCGTTTCGGCATCGCAGAAATGAGTGTAAAGACAAGGACAAATTTAGGGATGCAAATCCAACGTGATACTGGGGGCAACCTCTACTGAATAGATGGCGATGGGGAAATGCCGATGTGTAGTATGCTTGTCAACAATTCGCCTCTCGAATTTATGCAGATTCTCCCCGGTGTCGGGTGTAGGTTTACCGCCCCCTGCGGGAAACATCTGCCTCCCCTCGCAACGTGAGTTATTGCTACGGCCATCGGCAGCAACAGCGAATGAATGTGGGCATTAACCCCTTTGGGTCTAGGCTGGACTGTCAGATTTTTTTTTTTGCGCCAAAAAAAAAAAATGAGAGCGAGAGCGAGCGGGAGAGAGAGAAGTGCAGAGAAAGACACCAGTGTACTTCTGCACACGCAACAGCTATCTCCACCTGTAGGCCATGAGAGAAGCCGGCGACAGGGTGGTGGCCACAGACAGGGTCGTAGAAGGGTTGGTGGGTGGTCGCGCTGCGGTCAGTAGGGCAGGTTAGCTGTGTAGCGTTTGAAATGATCAGTCGTCTAGCTGCCTCAACTAGTCTATTTTCGGTATATTGTAAATGATCAGTCCAGAGAGGGCAAAATGATCAGTGAAGACCCATAGCTGGTATTTTGTACTTCTGTACTTCTCTGTTCTCTGTCCCCCCCCGAAATGTGCCCTGCCAACTCTCTAGAGCTCCTGTGTTTTTCAAACAACAAGCACATCCACCAGCACACACCTGTACCTCGTGGTTTCCTAGGTTCGGGCGAGGGTGGTATGTGTGGCGCTACGAGTGTGATGTGTTGCTGATATGTTTTACTCGTCTACAGCAGTAGTAGTAGTGTTGTTGTAGCGTTCGTTGTAGCTGTTGACACAATGACTGCTGGATCTTGGGAACGATTTTCAAATTGTTGGGAACCACGATATCCTCGATATCTGGGCTTCGGCAGGGACTGCAATACCCCTCCCTTTGGCTGTCCTCTGCTCTTTGCAGCAGTGGCTTCCTACGTTCGGGCGAGTGTATGTGTGGTGCTGCGAAAGAACACATATGTATGTATGTATGTACTGTATGCACACACGCGTTTATTGACATGTGCATACATTGAGAGATTCATGATTTGGCATTGATTGGCCCCATTCCCATTCCCGAGACCTTGATATTACCCGCTGTCACTGAAGTCTCTTCATTGGTCAGCCGGTTAGCGCCGGTGCTAATAATCTAGACACACCTACCTATGGACTTGCCAATACACGGCGCGAAGGGCTGCAGGGCGGCAACTCCACGACTTGCCACTACACCAGCATTTGCAAATGATCAATCAATGATCAGTGAGAACGCCTGAAGACTCAAAAGGGTTAAGTTGAGCTGAAGAAGTCAACACGGGAACGATACAAATCATGGAGGGTGAACCCATCTGATGCTACAGCCAGCCATGCCCTTACATATGGAGGGGGGGGGGGGCAACATCTTTCCAAGAAGAGCACCATGTCTTCATGTCTCCCTGCTCAAAAACACATTGCTTCCGGAGTACTATGGATGAGATGTACAATTTTCAATAATATCGAGACTAGACTAGGGTGCTAACATTTTCCCCGAGTGAGACTCACAAGAAAGTGTGCCTTGAATCCATTTGCATGTCATGTCGCTTCTTGATCTGTTGAAGAACAAGAACATTACTCGAATTGGCCAGTTGTTAGTGGTCGGCGAGATCTTGGCGAACTCGTCCTTGGACGATAATGTAGTTGATCCACTCACTGAAAATACTCCACCACATCCCGTTCGACTGTTGGGTATATCTCGAATGGGTAGTCTTTCTGTGTGTGTACTTGAGCAATTTGTCATTTTTTCAACGCGTACGACTTTGCGGGCTTGACTTGGCGTTCATACAGCGCAGGATAGGCGGAAGGTGTGAAGAAGACGCACGGAAGCCTGCAGATTACTTTAACCTACTTCCCACCACGCCGCAGACATTGCATCTCCGAGGCAGAAAAGTGTTGGGTCGACTGCTGTTCACCTGCTCGACAGAACACTGCCAGATTTTCCATTCGCACATTTCAACGGAAGCGGCCAGGGACAGATGACCACGGAACCGTCCGCATTGCCGATAGCTCGGCGGGGTTCAGCCGACTCTTAGTGTCATGGATTGGACCATCCATCCCACCAGCAGGGGAAGCTGAGATCTGCTGTGCCTACAGCACACGCTGATCAAACATGACAGAACGAACCGGGGGGACAAGAGGGGTGTTGCCCTCCCCCGATTCGATGTAAAACTACATCACGGAGCCCCTCGGGCTGTAGCCGTACCCGTCAAAGAATATGACTCTTATAAAACCATATATGGTTTTATAAGAGTCATATTCTTTGGTACCCGTACTGCCTGCATTGGTATTGCAGGCAGCTGAAGGCCTGTTCAGGAACCAGAGGAAGAGGCCTTCGTCAGCGCCTTGTCACACAAGGGCAGCTGCTACGATTTTACTTGACCGGCATCCTTGTCGCGAGAGATGGAGCAGGTGAACGGCACAATAAACTGCTCTTGAAACCTGGTATCATCCATTCTGTTATGTTGATGCTGGGGTATCCATCGCTGTGTGCCGGATGATGCTTACCCGACAAACTGCAGGTGTTTGTTCACTACTGCCTCCGCTTTAATGCTCTCGGTGCGATTCTCTCGCTCTCTCGGTCTTTTGTGCGGGCAAACTGTTCCTCGGCCGCAAGGACTCTGACGTTTTTGAGTCGTGGTGGTGTTTGTTTGATCCCCTGCCCGCCAAGGTGTTCTTCCGGTTACACGTCCGGTTTGTCACGACCGTCACAAGACTTCTCTCGCCGAAGGTAAGACTAGACTCACTCTCCGTGCAGGAGATATACCCTTAACAGAGAACAATCACTTGTTGACCGTAGGGACGATGGCGGTCGTCGTCGCATACAGAAATGCTGTTGGTATTACGGGGTACTGCACAGCAGCGGTAGTTACGCCGCAGCGTGTCGGTGTACATCAAGTTGCCCTTCATGCGCTACTGCTGCTGCTATGCTGCCGTGTGGAGTCTGGAATATATCGGCTCCGGCGAGGTGCTTCAAGTACTACTATTGACGAGTTGATGTTTGCGTCTCCGGTACATCTTGTCCGCGACAAGATGCGTGTTTTTTCGCTCCCTGGTCCCTGTCGGAAAAATTAGCGCGGCCTTGTATATACATTGTGCGTGGTTCACCGACCGCTTCCTTCCAAGACGATAAGCATACATGAATACGATGAGGAACGCACTTTCACCGAAAGAATGGTACATGTACGGCCGTTGTTCAATTCAACCGATACCATGTCTGAATCCGGTGCACTTGCACTTGCAAAGAAAGTCGGCATCGTGCGAACCGAGTCGGCGGCGATGTAGGGTGATGATCACCCTACATGTGTAGCTTCCGAGTCCCCATCACATGCCGCAACTCCCGCATCCGTTTCTGGGGTTGATCAGGGGACTCGCCAGTGTGGTAACTCTACATCTGATTATATCTACTTCCTGACCCAGTTGGTTTTCAGGATGGCTTGCGTTAGGAATCGCAAGGCTCCACAGAGAGTGTGGTGCACCTGCACGGATCAGAAACGACAGCCGTTGCAGCGGTGCTTGTACTGTCTACCGCTGCCTGTTGCTCAGCGGTTCTCCCACTTCTCCGCGAGTTCCCGCCACTACAACATTCTCGTGCTTCCATTTTTCTCTTTCACTTCAACTCTAGCCTGTCCCCATCTGCAACACCCGCGCGCACGGTTTCGCCGCCTGATTTTGGTGGCAAAATCTGTCGTTTTGGCAGACTCGGCGCCTGCTAGAGTACGTCACTCTCGCGAACGCTTTCTTGCTGGTGACGTCGCTGGCTTGGCTTCACACGCGCTTCGTCAACCCGAAAGGAAGGCAAGGGTCGGCCGTTTCGTGCCTTCCCGCCGCCTTGGAGAAGGCCGGAGTCGACCCTGCGCAGCTCCATGTTTTACAGGTCTGGTTGACCTTTCTGTCTCTCTGTCTGTGGACGACGCTTCCCTGAGTAGTATTTACTACCTAGCTTTGCCGACAGAAAGGTCGAGATTGGCAAACACCGCCGTTGGATTGATACCGGAGCAAGTTTCTTAGCTCCAGGTGCAGAGTTTCATAGTGAGCCCAACAGCACTACTTTAATAATAGAGACAAAGCATGAGTATTTGGTGCGCTACAGCAGTAGCCGGTCAATGCACCCTGTAATTAGGCGCAAGGAACGGTACTCTTTCCGTGTGACGCTTGACCATCCGATGCCCTGCCCAACTTTTCCTACACCCAGATACATATACGACAACCACCCGATGATTGGGGTGGGGGTGGCGGTGGCGGCGGCGGCGGCGGCGGCGGGCGGCGGAAGAACTTGATGTCCTTCCCGGGCGGCAGCAGTCGAATTGACGACAGCAGCAGTAGTGGCACTAACGCCGAACAGCAGGAGTCTGACTCGCGTAGACATAGCGGTGGCGCGGCCGCGGATGCTGGTCTGGGGATGTCAGGCTTGGGCGGCGGCGGAAGTGGTGACGGTAGCGTTACTGGCACCACCGCCGCTACCGCTTGCACCGGCAGCGGCGAAGAAGTAGGTGCCGCCGGCGCCATAGGGAGCGAAAGCAGCAGCAGCAGCAGCAGCGGTGGTGGTGGTGGTGGGCTGCTGCCCCCGAGGTTGGACTCGCCGCCCCAGTCTCCGGAGATCTTCTACAGCATGAAGCTCGTCACGGGCAAGGACGCCGTGGGCACGCTGTCGGGACCGGGCACCTTGGGCATCGAGAGGTGCGTCGTGAAGGGAGGGGATGGCGTGGACGGGAACAACCCCGCCGGGGGTGGCGGCGGCGGCGGCGGGATTTGCGGCGCGGTGGTGGAAGAGAAGCGCCCGACGCTGGTGCAGACGCTGATGGACGCGTTCTCCTGGGGGGGGAAGGGAGAGACGGGCATCATCGAGCGAGGAGGGGGGGGAGGGGCGGTGCACGATTTTGCGGGACCTCTGCCACTGGGAGGTGGGTCTTCGGTCTCTTCTGTCTGAAATGTGGTTGCCAATTTTTGTCGCAGTCAACTACACGGTGCTATTGTGTAAAGACTTAAGGTGCATGAGAATACGGAAGCGTCAATACGCGGCATAGTGATGCCATATGTTATCTTTCGAGTTCGCCGGCCTACGGACAGACGAGCTAGTGGGTCTTGCCCTATCGCAGTACTACGAGTGCTGGGCAAATTGCTTCTAGAATGTTTTCAGAGCTGCTGGGGTGGATTTTGGTGTGGTGCGAAAGCGAGAGAGCCAAACGACATGATGCCTCCTTCCACCTGGGTCGATGGTTATGTGGCGCACCCCCAGTCTCAATTGAAGTAAAACTAAAACGTCTCAATTGAAGTAAAACGTGCCGGCGGAAATTCGTACAAAATGCAACAGCGAGAGGGCTCACTAGATGCTAGTGTCTCGAAAATAAGTAGGCAATGCATGGCAAACTCGCGGCTCTGTTCGTCAATACTAATGAAAGTACCAAAACTCTCGCTAGCGGGCACCGAAACAAGTTGAGGTAAAGTTTGCGACACTGAGCGTTCTAGTAGGCAGGTACAGGTGCCTGCACACAGTCAGGAGAAGTCAGTAGAGACAATGCATCGGAATCTTGCGCTTTCCCCGCCTGAGGGCAGCATCTGCACGTAATATATAACGCCAGCCCCGGCGTCGGAAAACAGTTGACTTCTTCTGATGCGCTCCTTCCAGACACAAGGCAAGCACTGGCTACCGTATTCAAGCTGGTTCACGCAAGAAACCCCAAATTTGTTCCCCCACTGATTATGAACGCAATTACTCGCCATTCAACTCTCGGCGACAAGCGTCTCTGCAGCAGCGGGTGTGTGCTGTGTGCTGCGGTCGCTTCGTAGGCTGTTGTTGTACAGCAGCCTACACGGAGGTTTACACTTCGAGTGCGAGTGCAACTTAATGTGTGCCTTGGAACGAAGAAGCAAAGAAAGATGTTTGATTACTGACTGACTCCCGCGTCAGGTTTTGATGGTGCTTAAGTGGAGTGAGCACAAGGGCGAGAGCGCGCTTGTGTCTCATCTCGAACACAAAAACAAAATCACACAAACCGTTCAGTCGGGGTTCCCCCGAGATCTACTCGCTGTACTGTTCTTTCGGGGTCTTGTTCGGACCGTTCGGACAGCCCAAAAGTTTCACCGCAAATATTCCGACAATCTCTCTGATGCACTTGTGCATAGAGAATATCCCGACAGTCTCTGTGACGTACTCAGTCTCCCTGCTCGACTTCTACATGTCAACTTCTACCTATTCACGAAGGTTTCCCGTTCCTACCGGCTGATTGGGGTCTAACGGATAGGACACCCGGAAGCCGGTATATATGCCTCAAATAAAAATAAATCGAATTCGGTCGGCTCCGGTGTATGGTGTTGAAGGGTTGTACAAAGTTTCGTTGCCCAAGGGGCGAAACTGAGGTAGAGCGGTCGATTCAAGCTTAAAGTCGTGCCCAGAAGCTCATTTTATTCTACATCCAAGTAAATAAGGGGTTCACAGAGGAAAATTCAGGTTCCTGTTGCAAAAAGCAAATCCTTCGTTCGGTTTTTTGGAGATAGGTCACCAAATTTTGCACACTTGTCCGCAAGGTCGATACCAAACTTTTTACGAATGGGGTTTTTCTGGGTTTTTTTTGTTCGCCGAATATTCAGGGTCCAGCGCAGCCTTTCTGTCCCAGGAACGTGCGGGACCCCGACTATTCGGCGAATAAAAAAAAGCATCGAAAAAACCCACTCGTGAAAAGTTTGGTATCGACCTTGCGGACAAGTGTGCAAAATTTGGTGACCTATCTATTTTTCTTGCGTGAACCAGCTTGTACCATTTCCAACCCATCTATCCCCACGCCCTCGCAAGCAGCGGACCGCAGAATACCGGGATGCAGCGGTGAGGAACACGTTACCCGAAGGGGCGCCGTGGTGCAATCAGAAGGGGGGGGGGGGGCACTGTCAGGCGGCGGGCGAGACACTGCCGCGTGCGCGGCGGCTGGTGGCGACTGCCACGAGCACCAGAACCGGGGGAGGGGTGACGGGGCAGAGGACGGGGTTGAGGAGTCGGCGAGTGGCCGGGATCCCGACGAGGTCTACCTGTACTCCTTGGAGAAGGGCTTCCTGATGCTGAGGGCCGACCTGAGACGGAAGCACGGGATCGTGACGGCCAACGTTACCGTCAACGCTCACGACCCCTGTCTGGGGGGCACGGTCGTCCAGGTGATTGTCGTCGTCGTCGGGGGGTTTCGTTGTGGTGGTGGTTTTGGGTGTTTTGGTTCTGGTTTTCGTTGTGCACGGCCGTCCAAGTGATTTGTGGTCGTCGTCGTCGTCGTCGCCGTTCTTGGCCATGGTGGTGGTGGTGGTGGTGGTGATGATGATGTGGGTTGCTTCTTGTTTGCAACGTGGGTATGTTGTCACCGAGCGCTGTTCTTCGCGCTAGAACGCCCACCCGAGTCTGCATGCGTCGCCCTACGCTTGGAGTTCTCGTCACCTTGAGGGCGACCCTGGTATGGCCCACGATCTACCCACGACAGTAGAGCACCCACGACCTCCCCGGCTTGCTTGTGTTGTTTTTTGTGCTTTCGCACTCCATCCTAGCCCCCCCCCCCCAAAGCGTGCTTGTCTGTACGATGCCCCCGTCTCGATGTACGCTGGGTGTCTGTTCTCAGCACTACCGTTACCCAACAAAGGAGTGAGAACCCTCACGCCATTTTGAACGCTGTCGCGGACCTTACGACAGCAGCTCGCTCTTGCCGCTTCCCACGCAGCCGTCGAACGAATCGC